ATGGACTTGATAAAAATTCCCAACCAACAATGTGCTCCGGAGAAGACAATCGTAATTCGTCGCGTCGTCGCGCGCGGCCCATCGCGCGGTCGATGCGCGGCGAATTCTCGGTACGCGTTTATTGATTGAAGCGATAATTTAAGCAGAGAAAAGTCTCCTCATAGCGCTAAAAAGATTTTCTGTCCCAGTGTTACCCAAATCCAAATGGCTACGTGCGACAACTCATCTGCCAGGCGCGGCGTCGCTTGCCACGCCCACAAGCGCGGCATACTACGACTGTCATGTCACGTATCCATTCCCGTCTATGGCATCGGAGTACTACTGCAATGGTAGCGCGTCGACGCGCGTTATCGCGAAGTATGAACGCTGCTTAGAGTCTAAACACGGAAACACTGTTACCAGTCCGATCGTCATCAGCACGAGAGAATACTACAGCCATTACTTTACAAGTAGCATTTAGTATCGGTAAAATGAGCAAAGCTTTCGGATTACCCAATTATGTAACAGACTACAAGAGAGACAAGCTACTGATGATTATCCCGACTGATTCCGTTCACATAGCCATTACATTAATTATTGTATTGCATTCGAGAACATTACGTCGTGAGATCGTAGTACCAATGATCAGAGAGAGAGAGAGAGAACAAAGGCGTACAGCATCGATAAGTAGCGTAAAATCGGACATCGAATAACAATGCTGCACACGCCGATAATAACAGACAACGGAAAAAATTGGCGCAGATCGGCTTGGTGGGGGCACTGCATGAGCTGCAGGCAGTGGGCACGATGGCTATGGGTGGGTGGTTATTGGCAACGCCACTGACAGAAGAGCTGTGAGGCGTGTGGCCACACCCCACTCAACCCTTCCACCAATGACGTCCCTACCCCTGCCATTATGCCCTTTAAACTTATATAGGCCACTGCGAAAACCTGCAAATTCCTGTCAACAACTCATACTATTTCGCTGCTTCTCTGAAGTTTACAGGTCTTAACAAAGTGAGACCTATTTTTAACACGAATTAACCAAAGCTAGCGAAAAGGCGAAATGCCCCCTCCAAGCCGAACAGCGCCAAAACTCACTTCTTAACGAATAAAAATGTATACTTATATATGTGTGCGTATAATTATATGTATGTATGTACATCATATCTCTACTACTGTACAAGCATATTAACATCATATAACACCGTAGCGTTACACTTACTGTACACGTAGCGACTTCACCGAGAGATGAGAATGACAAAAAATGGTAAATCACAATATCGGGTCGTGGTGGTCGTTCGATGATTCGAAAGGATCTTGTCACCACACGCGTATTGAGCAATCGACGTGTGAATTTCTCACATACTATTAGTTACAGAAAAAATGAAATGAAAATAATTCGAACTTCAGAATTCAAACATAATGCAAACTAGAAAAACGTAAGCCATCATATATATAAGCA